TGTGTGTTTTAATATTTTTGTCTGTTTTATTCTTCCTTTGTATTTTTCTACCTTATTTATTTTCACCCATGGTATTTATTTCTGCCTGTCCTTTTTAAATTTCTGTATGCATTTCTGACTCATTATGCAAATGAGGAGGGGCTGTGTCTCAAGGGGTCATCTTCTCTGCTATTGGTGGACCAGTCAGACAGGAGAGCTCCTACTCTGCCTGCAGACATCAACGATCTTGCCCCTCACACAGTCAGATGGCTTCCTTCAGTGCGCTGAGGTGTTTAACAACTCTGAAGACACTACCAGCCATGTCTTCCTTCTCTTTTCACGTAGACGCTCCGACAGACAGTGCTTTCAGTTTGCTGCATGCATGGACACAGAACTGCGGTACAGCACACAGTAACGATGAAATGTGTGCTGTTATCACATTCTTCCTCTGTATGTACACATAAACAACAAGGCAGGGAAATATAAAAGGAATTTATTTTATTGTTTGGGTACATTATTGTTCAGTGTACATGCTCACATCTGAACCAAACTTTGCGTGCTTGATAACTCTCTGACCCCAGACATCTACACGTCAATACCGATTTATATTCATAGCGGCAAGTGCTATGTAGCTCCACATAGGGGACACAGGAAGTGACATATAGCACCTTCATGCGGCGACATAACCGCGTAGGAAATTCACAGCCGCACCGGCAGAGCTCCAGAATGTGCAACTCGGCCGGCTCACACGCGGACGCGCTTACAAGTGCGAGGGCCCGCCCAACGCTGCTTGCAGCTTTAATTTTCTCTTATTTTCCATGAGTTTTCCATGACTGGATAATTGGTCAGCTGTTTAGGGGTTAGATCCCACTGTGGCTTCAGCAATAGAGGCTTTGAACATTGCCCACTCATGTTCAATGTCCCCAACCTCCACAGGGGTGCCAGAAAAGCTCCGCCAGAGGTTTAAGTTGAAGATCTCATGGACAGGGGCCTCCTCCAGACATTCCCAGTTCATCCGCACTACCCGATTGGGCTTACCGCGTCTGTCCAGAATCTTGCCCTACCCCCTGACCCAACTCACCACCAGATGGTGATCAGTTGACAGCTCCGGTCTCACCACTGGAACGAGGACGGGCTCATCTGGAGGACACTCAGATGAAAATCCATTTCCACTCCAAAGCATGGTTTACCTCTCACTGAGCTCCTCCCCCACCACAGAGGGGTTTTAAGAGCCTGTCCAACTTTAAAATGAGCAGCAACATGAAGATCTGTGTTTCTGTTCAGGACCCTGAAGATCCTGATGTCATGAGGAATCTCACTGCCTCACCTCTGACCTTTACAAACTCTCACTGTTTTATCTCTCTGTTCCTCATGAACATTAGCTCTTTAGCTAACTCCACCACAGCCGGGTTCTGGTTCTGGAAAGTAAACAATAGGAGGAAAATAAATGGAAGAAGCACTTAAAAGGGGGAAAATGCCAAAAAGCTTAATATGACCTCTTTAATTCTTTGTTTGTTTGTTTGTTTTAAAGGGACAGTGCACATTGATGAACAGAAGGACTAAGTCCAAAATGTAAGTGAGCCAGATTTAGCCGTACAGATTCATTTAATCTGGAGTCCCTGGCAGGTTGATGGCAGAACAAAAAACATCAAACATGTCATCCAGAAAACATTCAAACAAACTTAAGCACATAATCCCAAGCAGAGAACCCAGGAACATGGATAAAACATAAAAACAGGAGTCACATAAACACAGACAAAAGCAGACGAGCACAAATAAGATGCCACATAGAAGACATCAGCATGTGAGCACAGACATTTGTAAAAACAATGACAGAAGCACTAATGCACATTCTGACTACATATTTGTATTTGTTGTTGGTAGTAGTACAGATGCAGCTCGCTACGTTACCTTTGTTGCAGATTGTTTTACACAAGATTTAATTAGAAGAAAATGTTATTGGTTTTTACATTTATATCTTTCTGTTGTATTTTTCTTCTTTCCAACACCGGGAACCGGCTACCGCAAAATAAATCTGTTAACAGCTTCATACTGCGTACTACTATGAAACGCAGTATGCTATATGTAGTACATACTGCGCTCGCAGGTAGTATGTAGTAGGGCTGGGCTATAAAACAATAATGATAATTATATAATTTTAGTGATATAGTCTACAGAGCTCCTGTTTATTCACTTTACTGAGATCCAAAACAGAAAAGCAGCAACTCGTCACACTGGAGAAGCTGGAATTATTACAGACTTTTTCTTCAGCGCTCTAAACTGAAGCCACTTTTCCAAAGCTCTTCCTACAGTCTGCATCACCAACATGCATCTGGGCCAAACAGTTCATCTCAGTATCCCAATCAGGTTTATTGCCAGCTACATTTTCACATACGAGCAATTTGATTGTGATTTCTGCATTATATTCTGTTTTAGTTTTAGATTTGAATCCTCACCTGCGACCTATATTTAGTTTCCCTTCATAGAAATAAAGACATTTCCAGCTGATGTTGGTGCAACACAAAGTGACGCAACAACAGGAAGTGTTATATACAGAAATAAACTCCTGAAGTATTTTTCACAGTAATCAGTATTTCATTCCATATTAATAAAAACAGATTTCACTTTATTGACTATTCGGCCAGACGCCACAGTCTAAAATGATGATTTAGCTTCAATCTGTCAGTTTTCAGATTTCAAGTTATTTTGCAGCTGTTATTTCCAGACTTTCATAAAATGTACAAAACAACCTTGAATGATGGTTTTAAACATTATTATTTGTCCATTTTACACAAAGTCCGTCAGCTGCAGCACTTTCCAAGTAAAAGTTCAAGCTGTCTTTTTAAAACTCTGCAAACTGAATCAGATATGGTTTGAAAGTTTGTTTTCTAGAGCACAATGTTGACTAGTTCATATATCAGATATCTAGAAGAGATGTGTTCATGTGACAAACTGGAATATGTTTCTAATGCGTTAGCTAATCTTTAAAGCCTGTTACACTGGACTCTCGTCTTCCAGCTTTTCTCACTTGCTAACATGCATCGATCCAAACTCTTCACACAGTCAGAGAAACAGAAGTGTGTGTGGATCAAACTGTCAATCACTTTTATTGCTAATTGCTGCACACATTCAATGAGCACTTTCTCTAAAATCAGGAACTCTTTTTTCTTTCCTGCTCCACCTCCTGCAGAACTCTTTATATTAATCAAAACAGCATTTCTGCACCAAACAATCTGAAATCTCTAGAAGAGCTCAGCAGAATATTGACTTCAATGCGTCTGTGTAGAGAACTGTGTGCAGTGTTTTGAACAAAGAGCTGCAGTCTGAGTGGAAAGCAGGAAATGTGCTTTCATTTGAGCAGATTTGCTTCAGAGGGTTGGAACATGAATTACAGGTGATACTGCAGCACTGAACTTTAGGAACTAGACTTTAGTTTGAACTTTTTCTTTTTCCAAAGTAAATGACGGAATGATAAAGAAACAAGTCCTTCCTTTTTCCACTTCAAAGATGAAAGTTCATCATTTCTGTAGAATGCTCCTTGTAATCAGTGTTTTTAGCTCAGTGTGTCATCAGTGACAGTGTTTGCTTTCTGACTGAGAGTTGTTGCCTGTGTTTGGTCCAACCAGTTTATTTTGAGACATGTATGAAGTGTTTTGGTGGTTTTAGTGAGTGTTGGAGGTGAGATTAACTGTTTGGCCCAGATGCATGCTGCATCATATTAGAATCTATTACGATCTCTGAGTTGTACTCTGATCTGTGGAGCCAGTGAGTTCTTGTAAACGTTCTTGTGAGACTCGACCTTGTCAGATTCCCAGAGAACACTGATATCTGGCAGCCTGACGCCTGAGCTGCTGTCTCTAGCTGATCAGTCTAACTGTTGTCTCCCTAACAAGGACAGTTACATGAGAGAAAGAACTAGAGCTGGAAGGTCAGTGAACACTTGAGGGCTCAGATAACGACTCCAAGCTACACCTGTCTTACCCAAATATATATTAGACATATTATATATGGAAGTCTCTTTGGATAAAAGCGTCAGCTAAATGATTCATTTTGGGAGGAAAAACATCAAACTTTCATCAGCAGATGCTTTTGTCCTGGTCTCTCTTATTTAAGCACAACTTCTCTCCACACAGATATTAGATTTGCAATAAGAAGGACATTCTCTTTAAGAACAATATTTTACTTGTCGGTCAGCTGTTTGATACTAATGGCAGGCTGTAGAGCTACTCAGACTTTTTGATGACGAATCAAATTCCCATATCAGTTAAAGAGTCTGCGATTGTTTTTGATGCCGTTCCTTCAGGAGGCAGGATGCTGCTGGACGCATTAACTTCCTGTGGCCACACTATCACACTATCACTTTATTTGACTCTGCTGCAAGCAACAGGTCAATTCAAAACTAATACGAGATTTATTCCAAAAAGGTGTTGTTACTATTCCTTCCATAACATCGTGTTAGAATAGTATAATAGAGAGTGTGTCTTGGGATAAAGTGTGGTTATTACCCTTTAAATATTTGCTCACTAAGAAAGTGAGAGAAGTTTTGTGTAAAGTGATTCAGTGGTTCTACCCAGCGAAATCTTTCTTTAAAGATATAAACAGAATATTCAAACTGAGTGTTCTCTCTGTGAAAATGCAGAGGAAAATGTTTCCCATTTATTTTGGAACTGTTCTCATACTGAGAGTTTCTTTGTGTTTAAAGGATGTTTTCTTTGGTGTTTTTGATTTCAGGGAGGAGAAGAAAGGACTATATTTCATAACAAATCTGTTATTCTTTCTTGCCAATTACCATATCCACAAAATGTTATATTCAGCTCTTATGATTTATGGATGTGACTGATGTTGGAACTCAAGAACAGAAGTTGGTACTTTTTCATCAGAAAGCCTAAATGAATCTCTTAAAGTATATATTTGTATATTTTTTGTACCCTGGAGAATGAAATGTTGTATATGTCATTATATGTTGTTGCTTGTGCTGACATTTTCAATACAGACAATTTATTTTTTTTAAATTGACAGGAAACTCACCCTCTTTCTGGGGCTTTTCTCACTTCCCCAATTTGTGCCTCCTCCACTCCTCCAGTTCGCATCTCGGGTGGGAGGGATAAGACGCCGAGCGAGGATCAAATTTGGGAAATGAAATGAAAAAGGTGCGACTAAGTGGTGCATGACACGTTTCCTCACACAAGACTCCGAGGACGAATCAGAAAGGTATGTTATGTCCTTTTTAACTAACTCTAGAAAATCGCCGGGACCGATTGGCATAAAGTTTCTCTTCCTCTTTTAAACCACAGGTCAGCTGAAAGTCACAAGTTAAACTGAAACTTAATTTTAATCTTGGGTATTAAAAAGTGGATTTAACTTTGCTCGTACTTCTCAACCTGTCTGCTGCAGAGAGCCACAGAAACAGGAGACTGCTTGGAGAAAAGAAAGAGAGGAAGCTGAACTTCCAGGTAAGTTCACTAAACATGTGTCTGTTAACGTTACTTGAGTCCAGCTATCGTTGTACTTGGCATCATTTTGATCCGTTTATTACAATTTAACCACAGCAACATGTTTATTTTGGGTCCATCCCGCTGTAGGAAACCAGATTAAAGCCCAATATTTGCTGATTGTGTTTACTGCTTTAAAAGAGCTGCCGTTAATACTAAAGATTTAATAAGCCACCAAAAAAAACACCTACAGTGCGACCAGTTTAGTCATATACCTTTTAAAATGGATCCAGCAAACTGGAAAAATATTTAAGAGGCTAAAGGTTAGCCCTGGCCCAGCAGAGTTCAGAGTTCTCTCATACAAAGGCTGCAGTAAAGCAACACACACTGGAGAATACTTTTAAAAGGAGACAGAAACTTCATTTAATGTAGTGCACTGTTCAACTGTACTAGGAAATTACAAGTATCTCTCAGCAGATATTAAATTACTCGATTGGGATCCGGGACAAAAATACATGATCAGGACCTCCCTACAAAAAAGGCTTCAAGTCCAAATTCTTTCATCACTTCTCTCTGAAGTCCCTGCATCTGCTCTTCTTCTCTGAAAATGGCAAATGTTGCATTTTCCCCGACCTGCTTGGAGCCTGATCATTTCTGCCTGCAGCTATATTGTTATAATTTTTTATAGTATATAAAGAAATAATATAATAACAGGCTATAATTTTACCTGCTAACAAATCCCATTATTCTGTTGAACCTTAGCTCTCTAACGTCTCTGTGTAACGGTACAAAAAGCTCTTTCAGACATGTTGCTGTCACAACGCCACACTTTATTTAAACTTCACAAAGAACTTGGAGTATTGATATGCAAGTGTAATACGGTCAGAAACTGGGACTACTTCATTTCAGTTGTGAGCCCGGCTTCCTCTTCATTCTTATCCAACTTTCTCAACAATAACACATCTGAGCCCGTCGCTCCTAGCCAACCTGTGCTACTTGTGACCTGACTCAGGGGGTGTTCACAATGCTGCTGCAACATAATGTTAAAAGAATTTTCCAGGATATTTGACTTTTTCTCTTAATTTCCACGAGTTTTCCATGACTGGATAATTGGTCAGTTGTTTTCCAGGACGTGTGGGAACCCTGAATGAGCAGTAATCTCGTACAATATAAAAAGTAAAAACAGAACACAGATTTCTGTTTACTTACGCTTTATTGTATTAAATATGTACAAACATTGAATGTCAACATTTAGGCTTCTGAAAACTCCCCCACATTACCTGCGCCCACATCGTTAAAGGTGAGGCGCTACATGACTTGTGTGATACAAGAGAGCCACTAACCTGAAAAAACACACTCATATTAAAATTAATTTCAATATTCCTACCAAATTATATGCTTATAATATTCAGCCTCACTTAAAAAAATGAAACCCATTTATTTTAACGGCTGTGAAATATAAAAAACATTAAATATTTCTAAGCGGTGAGTAGGCTTACTGTCACATCTTAAAAACCTACAACTAGCCTACAAGGCTTTTGTTCCTTATAATTATGAAGAACAAAAAATAACACTAGTATAAATAAATGCAGAAATAAATCATATATAAATACATTTTGGTAGTAAAGGCTATTTCTTTATTTTTACATTCACTTATTTATTTATACTTGTAGTTTTTTTTCCTTTTATAGCAGTGGATACAACGCACTGAAAAGCAGCTTGTCCATGGACTTTGAATTACATATTATTATTGTCTAATTATAAATATAATAAATAAAGCAGTCGGTGGGGACTTGCCCGACCCTGACCTCTGACCTCTCAGCAGTTTTCAGTCCCAGCAGTAGATATTGTACTTGTATTACAGAAGCAGTATTTGTAGTAGTAGCACTATTAGAAGTGACAATAATTACAAACTGTAAAGTCTTTACAGGGACAAACGAGTAAAAAGGCCTTTAAAGAAAAGTGTTTGGAAGCCAAAGTCTGTTTGAAGAAGAGCTTTAATAGCAGACACCATCTGTGGCAGCCTGAGGTTCTGGAGGTTCTGGTCCCCCTTTGTTAGGAACCAGGACTGAGGAACAGAGTGAAGGGCCCCGCCCGGGGATCTCAAGCTGCATTCTGCCTCATTACAAACCAACGCGTCCAAAATCTAGTAGTGAACCAACTGATCCACACTGCTGCTTCATGACATCTTCCAGTGCTGAGCTGATCTTTAGTTCATCAGATGGTTAGTTAGCACCATCTAGTGGACAGGTAGCAGAACTACATCAGACACCAGGACTAACGAGGAAGAAATTAGCAGCTTCTTCTCTCCCAGTGTTTCCTCCACACATGAAGAAGTGTCTGTTAGTTCAGCAGGTGAGAATCCGACCAGAAGCATCTGTAATGTCTGATAACCAGGATCAGGATTTAAACCATGATGTTTGGGTGTACTGTAACGAATCTTGACAGTCTAATTTCATCTGATATATTTTGTGGTCAACATACTGAACTTCTGGGTGAATCTGGGGGCTGTGTAACACATTTTGGGGTCATCAGATCCTGTTTAGGGCTCCAACAAGGTTTCTGTCGGTCCTGAATATTTGTGTCATGTTACTGAGAGGAAGGAGAACTAAAGTGTCCTGAGATGTAAAGCTTGTTGTAATGAATGAGTGCAGCTCTCTCAGCATGTTGTTGTGTTTGTGTGAAGGTGTGGGCTCTGCTATGAATCAGTGTGAGGACAGAGAGGAGGGAGTCCCTCCCTCTAAAAGCACTCTGTGTGGGGAACATGACAGCCAGACCAAAGCTCAGAGGTGAGATGAGGATCTCTAACTGTCCAGGACTCAAATCACTCCACCATCATTATTCACTCTCAAAGCTCTGTGTGTGTTGTGTTGAAGCCCAGAGCAGCAGCAGGGACCAGATTCTGTTGGACCAGGACCTGGACCTGGACCTGGACCCAGCTGTGTGTCCATCAGGAGTGACTGGTCTAAGGGCAAACTTATTGACTTCAAAGGTGGACACCACTCTGCTGATCAAAGGTCAGCATGTTAAATGTTTGTGTCTCTCCTGAGATGAGGTTTGGTGTCTTTGTTTTGATCACTTCATGTTCTTAACTCTTCACTTTTTTCAAACTGGTCTCACATTTTGCAGATCTTAGTCCAAATATCAAAACCACAGTTAAAATCCACAAACAGCTGGATGCAGGTTTGAGAATGTATAAGAACATTGTCTATGGAGCCTCCTCTTGCTCAATGGAGGTGAATGAAGTTTAGTTTTGAGCTACTAACAGTAAAGTTGCAGCTGGACAGATAAACAACAACTGAAAGTCGCTATAAAACTCTGTAACGCTGACAAACTGCAGATTCAGCTGAAAACTCACTACCAGAGACACCAACACATAAATATATCTATTAAATCTGCTTTGAGGACACATCTGATTTGTTATTTCATTGTTCAGGATCCATCGGCAGAGACCAGATTCTCCTGGACCCAGCTGTGTGTCCGTGAACAGCGACCGTCATGTCCCTGTTCACTTCAAAGCTGGACATAATGATGCTGAACAAAAGTAAGAATCTTAAATGTTTGTGTTGTTTTGTTGACTCTCCTAAAAAGAGCTCTCAGGTAGGTCTTGGTTCAGCACTGTTTTTTGTTAATTAAAAATAATAATAGACTCTTTATTTATTCCCAGAGGGAAATTCTCATGTCACATCAGCAGCACAGAAATGAACCAGGTTCAAAGAACAGTGCAAAACAAATGGAAAACACATGAGAAAGTAAAAATATTAAAAGTATGAGCATGCCCTTTTGTCTGCTGCTTACTGTAACTGTAAGTCCAGTTAGAGTCCAGTAGGACCTCAGCAGCCTCCTCGTCCGCTGATGTCCACTGAGACACAGCTGGATGAGTAAAACAGCAGCATTTTCTCCTGTCCAGTCTACCCTGCACCCAGCGGTGTTTCCATGGAAAGTGACCAGATCATACATTTTTATACCAAGATCTGGTATAGGTGTATGAGGATCTGTTTCTACCAGATATAACACAGCACATGTAACACTGTTTGTCATTATATGTTCAAATCATCATATTTCTTCACAGAGTTGATGAGCAGAGCTCAGAGGTTCCCAGTGGTCAGTCTGCCCAGCAGCATCAAACAGACCTGGACTCCATATTTATGGTGTGTAAATGTACAAGCTCAGCTACTACTGCTAATTACAGGAGCCAGCACAAAAATGTCATTGAAATTATTTCTATAAATTATTTTATATTTAATTTCTGGATGATGTTCACAGGCAGCCATAATCCATAAAGCTGCAGTCAGTCCCAGCTGATAACCTATTGTGAGATCAGATATTTTAGAGGAAAACTAGAATATGTTGGAGCTAACAGGAATACGCTCAGTCTGGGTGCTAGTTCTGTTTGTCACAGCAGAACATCACTTAAGACCAAATATGAAATAAAGAGCTGAGAGAGGGTTGATATGCTGTTTATTTCTTCCCTCTGCAGTAACAACATAACAGAATGTATGTTTAGCTGCATCGACACAAAGATACAAAAATACTCTTTTTCATTCACGCACTTGTAATGAAAGTTATTGCACTGCACAACTGTAGTCCATCACTCCACCAGCCCACTGATACGCACCAATTTTAACTGTGTGACGTCAGTTAGGCTACACTACCACCGCAGGGCTCCCACTATAGAATAACCAGCACCATATGGAAACAGTCCTCAATAACACCAACTTGTTCTACAGAACATCTGACTGATACACTCAGTATCAACATTTCTGTGATTTGCTTAATTTGTTCTTTAACAGCATTTACTCATTATGTAGAAATCTCAGCAAGCAATATGTTTCCTTTAAAAATATTATAGGAGACAGGGCAGTCCACAAAGTAAATAGTGAAGCAGCATTCTGATCCAGTCTCCATGCTGCACTCTGCAGACCAGCAGGCTTTCTGTCTGTCACAGATGATCTGATGTTGACTTCTACCAGTTCAACTTTACATTTTCTTCTGTTCCAGCTGCTCCAGGAAAACATTGGCAGGTTTGTGAAGAACGAGGTGAAGAAGTTCCAGAGAGTTCTGAGTCCAGATTACCCAGCATGCTTAGAGAGCCAGAGGGAGGATGAGGAGGTGTTGGACGGTGAGGAGGAGCAGAGGAGGAGCAGCAGAGAGGCATTTCTGAAGATCACACTGCACTTCCTGAGGAGAATGAAGCAGGAGGAGCTGGCTGAGCGTCTGCAGAGCAGTAAGAGGATTTGAACAGATTTAACATGATGGAAAGAGGAAATGGAGGCAACATGGGAGAAGTTTCCATTTCAAACTCTGCTGTTAATATGATGCACACATTTGGATCAGATCTATGAATTCTTCTGGGCTGAAACTCAGAAACTGTTCACAGCTGATGAGCTGAAGAGATTTCATGGAGGAGGAAAATAAATACCATCTTGATGTCTTAAAGTTTACATTTATCAGATTTACTGTAGCATCCACTTATTAATCACATTTCTTCTTCATTCAGGAACTGCTGCTCCAATGTGCCGACGTAAACTCAAGTCTAACCTGAAGAAGAAGTTCCAGTGTGTCTTTGAGGGGATTGCTAAAGCAGGAAACCCAACCCTTCTGAACCAGATCTACACAGAGCTCTACATCACAGAGGGAGGGACTGCAGAGGTCAATGATGAACATGAGGTCAGACAGATTGAAACAGCATCCAGGAAACCAGACAGACCAGAAACAACCATCAGACAAGAAGACATCTTTAAAGCCTCACCTGGAAGAGATGAACCAATCAGAACAGTGATGACAAAGGGAGTGGCTGGCATTGGGAAAACAGTCTTAACACAGAAGTTCACTCTGGACTGGGCTGAAGACAAAGCCAACCAGGACATACAGTTCACATTTCCATTCACTTTCAGAGAGCTGAATGTGCTGAAAGAGAAAAAGTACAGCTTGGTGGAACTTGTTCATCACTTCTTTCCTGAAACCAAAGAAGCAGGAATCTGCAGCTTTGAAGAGTTCCAGGTTGTGTTCATCTTTGACGGTCTGGATGAGTGTCGACTTCCTCTGGACTTCCACAACAATGAGGTCCTGACTGATGTTACAGAGTCCACCTCAGTGGATGTGCTGCTGACAAACCTCATCAGGGGGAACCTGCTTCCCTCTGCTCGCCTCTGGATAACCACACGACCTGCAGCAGCCAATCAGATCCCTCCTGAGTGTGTTGACATGGTGACAGAGGTCAGAGGGTTCAGTGACCCACAGAAGGAGGAGTACTTCAGGAAGAGGTTCAGAGATGAGGAGCAGGCCAGCAGAATCATCTCCCACATCAAGACATCACGAAGCCTCCACATCATGTGCCACATCCCAGTCTTCTGCTGGATCACTGCTACAGTTCTGGAGGAGGTGTTGAAGACCAGAGAGGGAGGAGAGCTGCCCAAGACCCTGACTGAGATGTACATCCACTTCCTGGTGGTTCAGTCCAAACTGAAGAACGTCAAGTATGATGGAGGAGCTGAGACAGATCCACACTGGAGTCCAGAGAGCAGGAAGATGATTGAGTCTCTGGGAAAACTGGCTTTTGAGCAGCTGCAGAAAGGAAACCTGATCTTCTATGAATCAGACCTGACAGAGTGTGGCATCGATATCAGAGCAGCCTCAGTGTACTCAGGAGTGTTCACACAGATCTTTAAAGAGGAGAGAGGGCTGTACCAGGACAAGGTGTTCTGCTTCGTCCATCTGAGCGTTCAGGAGTTTCTGGCTGCTCTTCATGTCCATCTGACCTTCATCAACTCTGGTGTCAATCTGCTGGCAGAAGAACAAACAACCTCCCGGCTGTCTAAAGTCTTCAGAGACAAACTTAAACTAACACATCTCTACCAGAGTGCTGTGGACAAGGCCTTACAGAGTCCAAATGGACACCTGGACTTGTTCCTCCGCTTCCTCCTGGGTCTCTCACTGCAGACCAATCAGACTCTCCTACGAGGTCTGCTGACGCAGACAGGAAGTAGCTCACAGACCAACCAGAAAACAGTTGAGTACATCAAGAAGAAGATCAGTGAGAATCTGTCTCCAGAGAGAAGCATCAATCTGTTCCACTGTCTGAATGAACTGAATGATCGTTCTCTAGTGGAGGAGATCCAACAGTCCCTGAGTTCAGGAAGTCTCTCCACAGATAAACTCTCTCCTGCTCAGTGGTCAGCTCTGGTCTTCATCTTACTGTCATCAGAAAAAGATCTGGACGTGTTTGACCTGAAGAAATACTCTGCTTCAGAGGAGGCTCTTCTGAGGCTGCTGCCAGTGGTCAAAGCCTCCAACAAAGTTCTGTAGGTGGATAAATGGATGTGCAATTTCTAAAACTGTATATTTGACAAATAAAACATTCAGTTTGTGTTCATTGCTAATCCTTTTTCAGGTTGAGTGGCTGTAACCTCTCAGAGAGAAGCTGTGAAGCTCTGTCCTCAGCTCTCAGCTCCCAGTCCTCTAGTCTGAGAGAGCTGGACCTGAGTAACAACAACCTGCAGGATTCAGGAGTGAAGCTGATGTCTGCTGGACTGAAGAGTCCACACTGTACACTGGAAACTCTCAGGTCAGTAATAAGCTGTTTCGTTTAAATCCTCTTCATCTGGTTTTAGGTTCATGTTAGTGAAAATGGTCTGTAGGATTTTCCTGCAGACATGATTTTCTAAAACACAGAGTTTATGATGTTTTCCTGATTCCAGTCTGTCAGGCTGTCTGATCACAGAGGAAGGCTGTGCTTCTCTGGCCTCAGCTCTGAGCTCCAACCCCTCCCATCTGAGAGAGCTGGACCTGAGTAACAACAACCTGCAGGATTCAGGAGTGAAGCTGCTGTCTGCCGGACTCGAGAGTCCACACTGTACACTGGAAACTCTCAGGTCAGTAATAAGCTGTTTCGTTTAAATCCTCTTCATCTGGTTTTAGGTTCATGTTAGTGGAAATGGTCTGTAGGATTTTCCTGCAGACGTGATTTTCTAAAACACAGAGTTTATGATGTTTTCCTCATTCCAGGCTGTCAGGCTGTCTGATCACAGAGGAAGGCTGTGCTTCTCTGGCCTCAGCTCTGAGCTCCAACCCCTCCCATCTGAGAGAGCTGGACCTGAGTAACAACAACCTGCAGGATTCAGGAGTGAAGCTGATGTCTGCTGGACTCAAGAGTCCACACTGTACACTGGAAACTCTCAGGTCAGTAATAAGCTGTTTCGTTTAAATCCTCTTCATCTGGTTTTAGGTTCATGTTAGTGAAAATGGTCTGTAGGATTTTCCTGCAGACGTGATTTTCTAAAACACAGAGTTTATGATGTTTTCCTGATTCCAGGCTGTCAGGCTGTCTGATCACAGAGGAAGGCTGTGCTTCTCTGGCCTCAGCTCTGAGCTCCAACCCCTCCCATCTGAGAGAGCTGGACCTGAGCTACAATCATCCAGGAGACTCAGGGGTGAAGCTGCTGTCTGCTGGATTGGAGAATCCACACTGGAGACTGGACACACTCAGGTTTGGACAGATAGCAAGAGCTCACACACTGCAGGTGTCTCTATTTTCTGTTATTTTCTGTCAGTCTACTGGAGTCCATCATCATGAAGGAATTCTTATTCCTCCTCATTCTGTTCAGAGCAGTGAGTAGGCCTGAGATAGGAAACACACGGCTCTCCAGAAGTCTTATCGATTGGAAACCATTAGAAACATCAGAAACTTGGATGTAAAGTCATTCTAATGTGAGACCTGCTTGCAGCATTTCTCTATGGATAGAATCAGGGGTGGACTGGTAATCTGGCATACCAGGTAAATGCCTTGTGGGCCGACGAAACTTTGGGGCCAGTGAAACATAAATTACTTATTTATTCAACTGTTTTAAAAAATGGGCCAACGGTCGGCCCATAAAGCATGTACCGCAGCACATTGGGTAATTTTCTATACTGACATTGGGCTGGCCCAATCACATCTCTTACAAACCCCCCCCTCCTCCTCTGCCTTCTGTTTCTTGAGTTGTGGGCCAAATAAAATTAAATTCTGCAGATGGATGCCACCAAATGCGCAAAATAACCGATATGTTAGCAGGAGGAGAGTGGAGGTGAAGCGGTAAGCATGGAGTAGCTCAGCCTGTAGGGAGGGAGCAGGGAGGGAGGGTCATAGTGTCATTTACACTGGGGACGCTGGGGACATGTCCCCACCACTTTTTGAAATGGCAGATGTTGTCCACATCACTTTTTGAAAGCATTTGTTAAAAATGTTAATGTTAAGAAATGTTAATTAACAAATGAAAATGCTTTGAGAAAGGTTTATTTGCACTATTCTGAAAACCAGCAATGCAATAAAAACATAGAAGAAACATCTGCGTTGTCCAAAAAAAGTAACTTAAGCTAAAAAAAAGCTACAGATTACTGCATTATTCTATTACATTTTTATATTCTGAATCATCACTTGCCAACTGAATTTGTGCTTCCCTTTACATAAATAAAGACATTCCACCATAAATTGGTGCAGAAAATATCCCCAGAATGCAGGAAATTAAGTGTTTAATGATCAAAATAGTATTCAAATATATTCTTGTCTTGTTCTCGTGACCCCAATCTTGTGCAATGTCACATCTCATGGGCAAAGTGTTCGTCACCCCCCTAATCTGAGCCCTTAAATGTCCCCACCACTGTTCAACACAAAGTGATGCCCTTGGGTAGGATGTGTGCCATGCTGTAGTGACAATGATGATGATTACTTCAATTAAGGTTGATGATTATAACATATGAGTACACTGATTCACTTGCACTGGTGCACTTATCCGTGGCACATACCACTCGGCTTGTTTGTGTACAGTAGGTGCACATGTTATATATAGAAGGATGGTGTATCGGTGAGAAGTGTCTCACCAATTTAGGTGAGCCGCCTGAGCCAACAATGCCAGGGCCAATTTTTTAGTCCCAGTCCAGCTCTGGATAGAAGTGTTTGATGGTTCATCTCAACAACTACTAAATTTGTTGAGATTAATGTAGCTGCAGTGTTACAAGTCTAACTACATTTCTCAGTAGTGTGGTGGTAGCTTCGCTTTTTTCTGATCAAATGGCTTTTCAACCTCGAAGCTCCTTTATTGATCAAGTACCGTGGTAGCATCCACACACTGGGGTTGGGCCGATAGACGATGCCATCGGTGATGGCTGGTGAAAGCAGGATTTAATCCCCAAAAACATTATCATTATCATTTTTAAAAATACCTGGTTTGCACCTGTCTCTGAATTCTCTTCTCCCCACACTCACACACACCTAACGTTACATCTCTGTCTCTCTCCGCCTGTCTGCTGCACTTTCTCCATCAGCAGTGTGTTTTATAAAGTCGCCTAAAACACACAGAACTCGTCTTTTTTCATATTGTTCCACCCGTGATCTGTTATCACGGCAGCAGGTGAGCCGCATGCCGGCTTGTTAATGACGTAGCCTATGAAACAACCGAAACCATCTGCACTCTAGTGCCTGCTGTTGCATTACCTGGTCCGTGACTTGTAACGTAATAATGGAGTGCCAAGATTTTTACTGAGTGAAGTCTGTGCGAGTCAAGAGATGCAATAAAATTACTGTTATTATTGTTAATAATAAAATGTACTTCAAAGAACGGAGCACTTCCTGAAGGCTACCATGCCGACCAATCACAGTTCTTGCTGTCTGTCTTTTTTTCTTCCTTTTTAATAATATCAAATAGCAACATATATCACCAATCTTAACATTGCAATGGATACTTCACATTAGGGATACCGATGTATTTATAGCTAGGGGGTACAATAACAGAACAATACAGCGAAAATAAATAAGGATATCACAGATATCTGTGAAGGTTCTCAGAAGGTTAAAGTCAAGGGCAACTGGACTTGGTTGAAGGATATCACAGACCTTTAAGCGAGTACAGACATTAAGTAGCCTATCTTCAAAGCCTTTCTGTTGGAGGAGAAACTAAACAAAAATAAAGTTTCTTTCTCAAAGACTATAAATGGGGTTTTTGTTTGTAAATTTGCATTTGTGTTTATGAAATTTAGCCAGAAACAACATAAATTGATTAAGAAATAATGGTCGCAGTGTTACACTAAAAAAGATATTCTGCCAGAACAAGCAGAAACCTGAATATATCTAATCATTAATAAATGTACATACTGTACATCCTGACAAAACATATGTAATGCCGTTTCTGTATGAGTCTCACAGAAGGTACAGTTCTGCATCGCCGCGACATGTTGTTGCATTTTTGGGGAGGTGCAGTTCAGGTTACAGCTTAGATTCGACGTGTAGACACCACAGTCCAAAATTATGATTTTGCTGCATTTAAAAAAGAGCTCTGCCGGAGAACTTTCATCAATATATCAATCAATTTAGTTTATAGAGCACTTTAAACAGGGTTGGAGTTACGTGGGAGCCAGTGGGAGCTCAGCTCCCATAAGGAGGTCTGAGCTCCCATGGAAGCAGTAAAATCAGCATCTGTTGCGGTCACTAATTCATTCTTCAACAACCATTATTTTGAATCACACAATGTATTTTTATTGTTATATTGTTATTATTCACATTAAAAAGATAAACAGACTTAAATGAACATACTTTCCTAATGAACTAATGTTACGCTGCGCACCGCATGACTGACAGGATGGTTCCACTTCTCCACCATCAACCACTATGGTGCGCAGTATAGATTTGACTGAACAGGTCTGAGACCGCGACCCGCAAACATTTGGTGTACTGGGACTTTTTCAAGTTGCCGGTCCTCTCCTCTGCCCTCTCCACATCAGGTTCTCTGGGCGCTATGCATGGGCGTAAGTTTCATCTCACAGTAGGGGGGGGAAGTAAACATAAAATTTTTGAGGGGGACACAAAAATACAGCCAAAATTGTACTTGTAGGCCTCTAGGATGCGTGTACACAGAGAGAAGTCTTACTACTATTTTATATATAACCCAAAGCAATAGTTGTTTAAATATGACTTAAGTTCATAGGTTCACCACACAGCCGTATTATCATAAATAACTTGAGTCATCTAGGCTACATAGTAATTTAGGTTTCTTCTGGGATAGAGGATGTTTCTTACACACACATATCTATCTATCTATCTAATACACTGCTCAAAAAATACTAGAAACTAAAATAACACATCCTAGATCTGAATGAAATAATCTCATTAAATACTCCTTTCTTTACATAGTTGAATGTGCTGACAACAAAATCACACAAAAATTATCAATGGAAATCAAATTTATCAACCCATGGAGGTCTGGATTTGGAGTCCCACTCAAAATCAAAGTGGAAAACCAAACTACAGGCCGATCCAACTTTGATGTAATGTCCTTAAAACAAGTCAAAATGAGGCTCAGTAGTGTGTGTGGCCTCCACGTGCCTGTATGACCTCCCTACAACGCCTGGGCTCCTGATGAGGTGGAGGATGGTCTCCTGAGGGATCTCCTCCCAGACCTGGACTAAAGCATCCGCCAACTCCTGGACAGTCTGTGGTGCAACGTGGCGTTGGTGGATGGAGCGAGACATGATGTCCCAGATGTGCTCAGTTGGATTCAGGTCTGGGGAACGGGCGGGCCGGTCCATAGCATCAATGCCTTCCTCTTGCAGGAACTGCTGACACACTCCAGCCACATGAGGTCTAGCATTGTCTCGCATTAGGAGGAACCCAGGGCCAACCGCACCAACATATGGTCTCACAAGGGGTCTGAGGATCTCATCTCGGTACCTAATGGCAGTCAGGCTACCTCTGGCGAGCACATGGAGGGCTGTGCGGCCCCCCAAAGAAATGCCACCCCACACCATTACTGACCCACCGCCAAAGCGGTCATGCTGGAGGATGTTGCAGGCAGCAGAACGTTCTCCACGGCGTCTCCAGACTCTGTCACGTCTGTCACATGTGCTCAGTGTGAACCTGCTTTCATCTGTGAAGAGCACAGGGCGCCAGTGGCCAATTTGCCAATCTTGGTGTTCTCTGGCAAATGCCAAACGTCCTGCACGGTGTTGGGCTGTAAGCACAACCCCCACCTGTGGACGTCGGGCCCTCGTACCACCCTCATGGAGTCTGTTTCTGACCGTTTGAGCAGACACATGCACATTTGTGGCCTGCTGGAGGTCATTTTGCAGGGCTCTGGCAGTGCTCCTCCTGCTCCTCCTTGCACAAAGGCGGAGGTAGCGGTCCTGCTGCTGGGTTGTTGCCCTCCTACGGCCTCCTCCACGTCTCCTGATGTACTGGCCTGTCTCCTGGTAGCGCCTCCGTGCTCTGGACACTACGCTGACAGACACAGCAAACCTTCTTGCTATAGCTCGCATTGATGTGCCATCCTGGATGAGCTGCACTACCTGAGCCACTTGTGTGGGTTGTGTGATTGACTTGGAGTTACATTGTGTTGTTTAAGTGTTCCCTTTATTTTTTTTGAGCAGTGTATATGTATATATATATATATTTATATAATTTATATTTCTAAACATTATGTTTTGTCTATTTTACACCAAGTTTGTGATCTTTAGATTGCG